CACCAGTGTTTGACGACAATGCGGACTGGAAGCAAGTGGTCCCCAAAAACCTACGCTTAGCTGTGTTTCATGAAAACCATGAGAACCTTGCGCTGGTCATCTTGGTTATTATAAAACTAGGAAAAGAATGTCTAACCTTTATTATTGGCCAGGCATGAATAGTGATATTTTAGGGTATGTTAAGAAAATGTGAAATTTGTAAATCTCAGAAACCAGATCAAAAGCCTCCATTTGGTGTTATGTCGAGTCGTATTGTCTCCAAGCCATGGGAAGTTGTCGCTACTGATCTGATTGGTCCTATGCCTCTATCTCATAGACGACATCGATTTGTCTTGGTTGTTACTGACCTCTTTAGGTATATTCACTATGCTTTGTCCCTTAAAAACGGCTACTAGCGAGGCTTGCACTAAGTTCATTGAAGAAAATGTATTCATGGTCTTTGGTGTCCCAGAGCGCCTACTCTGTGATAATGGTAAGCAGTACGTTTCGAAAAATTTCAAGAAAATGTGTGAATCGTATGATTGTCGAATCTGTTTCAATGCGCAGTATAGTCCTCATGCAAACCCAACAGAAAGAGTTAATAGGACTCTCAAAACTATGATTCGTAGTTACATAAATGAATCTCAACGTGATTGGGATAAGAAACTCCATCAGATAGCTGTTCATGAAATTACCGGATATAGTCCGTCTTATTTGAATTTCGGCAGAGAAATTCATATGTCTCGTAAAATATTCAGACAAGGCAATGGTTTACAGGATCAGCCGTTGGATTTTGCCCCAAGACATAATTTGGCAAACCATGTTCAGGAAATCCAAGATTTATGTGTTAAACTTGAGGCAAAACTGATACAGTCGTACTCGGCCAGTGCACAAAGATACAATCTTCGTCACCGTCCTCTCTCCTTAACGGTTGGGCAAGTGTTTGGAAAAGAAATAAAAAGTTGTCTGATGCTGCTGATTATTTCCAGGGGAAGCTGGCTTGTAAATTCATCAAATGTAGGGTGATAAAAACTATATACCAATGTATATGAACTAGCTGATTTCGAAACAGGTCGTTCGTTAGGTTCGTGACATATCAAAGATCTGAAGTTGGATTAAAAAAAATGTTAGTTTGTTGAAATAGATATTGGTCCATTTTTTTTAAGGAAGTGAGGGGAGTGTTACGTTATCCGTAAAATTTTAGAAAAACTCCTAAAAGGTAGGCAACCAGGAATACATTTCAATTATCTTTCATATCGCATACGAGAGCTGCTGCCATCATCGATGAAACGAGGAAACCTTTTGTTTGTAGCGATAGAATCTATCGGGTACAAAAAGAGGGATTGGAGAGTTTTTTTTTATTCAGAAAATGGCTCGAATGTCTTGAACGCTGAATTCTGTCGATTGCATATTTTACGCTTTAGGCGGTTTTAATTGATCAGTGTTCCTTTCGACAGTGATATTTGGTTGAATAATTCGTCGGATTAGATTATCAACTGTCGATTTGTCTCTACGGAGGATTTTAGATATCAGTCCTTTTTTTTGGTGGAAAAGGAAGTCAACGTCTCGCGATTATTAGGGAATCGGTAATCGGAGGTGAGTTCTTATAATTTCACTTAGTTGAATAGGTTTCCTATATTTCATACAGCTCAAATTTCTGTAATAAAATCACTACAATCATAAATATGATTTTCTAGGCTTTAACCCCATATATTGAAATCATCTCGAGGAAATAAAAGTTACTCGGAAGAGAATATATTTCATTCGCTGGTCGCAATACCGTAATATTCATGGTCGCTTTCTAAGAATATAATTAAGGGAGTGAACACCCGTTCCAGGAAGTGCAGTACTCCGCACAATCCAGAAATCTGGCTAAGTACCGCATAGCGGAATTTGTTCTTGATCATTTAGGTATTTTGCTTTCCGTAACTTCCACGGGCCAATATCTACATTTAGTAATTATCAACGGGGAATTACTCTTAGCGAATATTGTTTGAATGTTTTCTGTCATTTGTATTAGTTATGTAAGTTTTGCGTGATGTCTTTAGGGGACTGGACGAAGACTTAGGTACAATACAGATCTCATCCACTCCTCTTCTTCCCTCTCATGAGAGTTTTCTAAGTGCACGAAACCATTTTAAATCTTGTTTTATTCATTATATATTTATAGATAAGCCAGTATATAATATATTTCTATTAAATTGATACCGTAGTCTTTCTAATTGTTACCTGCCAAAGTTCATTATCAATTGGTTACTTTTCAGAGTAGATCTTATAGATTCAATTTCTCTAATTTCTTTATTTTGAATCAGGGTTAAATATTTGAATCTATTGGCGTCCGTTAAAGTGACACCTAGTATTTCAGGAACTCACCCCTCTCTCCCTGTTCAGGCTAGTTGTGAGCATAACCCTTTACTTCACCTTGTTTACGTAACCATTTGGTATAGTTGTTTTTTTTGTACAGTTCAAAACTGATAAATTACGTAACAACTCCAAACGAGTAGAGTAAGGTTGGAACGGCAAGCATATTTGTTGCAGCTACTTTGTTTTTCCCCGACAGTTCCGATGACCAGATCTGTCGAAGTTTGTGTTGATACTTGCCGCGGAGAGAGTTCTTCACTGCTGTGGTGGTGTTCCACCCCGAGGTAGAACACCGCCCAGATGGTGTAGGATGCTTTCATCTGCGAGCTGCATATCCTCTCTTGTCTAGGGTTGATCTGAGTGACATACACCGCCTGTCCGCCAGGAGCGATGGAATCTTCCAGTTTTGCGAAAAGTAGTATTAGAAGACAATATATAAGCTGAAAATTCCAAAGGATTCGGAATTAGGACATCAATTTCACAACCAATACAGATTTCCGCTGGAAATTTTTCAGTTCTGATGGAAACATCCCCGTAACTTCCGTTATAAACCAGATTTCATTTCGCTTTTGACATCATCAAAACATGAACCCGACCAAGAAAATCAGAATTTCGAACAAAAAATTGATTGCTTGTGAGTGATTTGACATTTTGTTTCACATAAATAATTCACTTTTTATTTTGGTGTCACAAAAGTTAAAAGGTAAAACCTCGTTGGTCCTTAGCTCGCACAAGTTTTGATTATTGAGAGTTGTCGTTCGTAGGAGTACGACAGCTGGTTAACGGAAAAATAGATTTTGAACAGCTCCATTTCGTGAATAAAGCCCTAAGCGGGAAAGATACATCCCATATACCTCACACAGTCTTCGGAGACGTTTTGATCTCTGTTAGAGTATTGGTACGTGGAATATGTTTCTTTCCTGTTCGAGTCTTTTTTCATGAGACTGAACTGTTATTGGTTAACCATGTTTCTTTTAGACGAAGGTTTCATTCATGCAGTCAAGCTGCGTTGGAATTAATGGAGTCCCAGGCACTTTGCTGTTTGGGTCGGATCTTTCCTGCACTGATTAAACGTAATACCCCGAAATCGGTCTGTAGGTGATCTTCTCGAATAATATCAGTATGGTCTTGCTGCTGGATGAACGAGAAACATCTGCGAGACTAGCCTTTGTAAGGTATCTTGCATAAATGCATTTCGGATATAATTCAATATCCAGCGTGGTATTAGACGGGAAAATAATTGTTTTCCGGCGGGCGTTTACCAGAACCCACTGCGTAAGTAGTTGTAGAAAACAAATATTTCGAGATTTTATTCAGAAATTTTTATTTTGTTATACGTATATATCTCTCGTCGACACAGTCTTCAGACAAAATTCATGTGACTGATTCTATTCATTTGTTTTTGGTGGAACTATGCTGAGACTGCTTCAATAATTTTAATTTTCCTACAAAAGTGACAAACATATTTATAAAGAGTGATTTAGGACTCCAGAAAATTCAGTTAATGTATATTATCTGACGATAATTATCAATTGCTTGTTCCCTTTCGTGTGGGGTGGAAATATTTTCATCAGGTTTGTAAATTCATCATGGCTCAAAGATGAGTCAATTAGTTTAGCATAAACCTTATCTGATTCCATGCATTTTTCGATTTCGTATGAATTTTTGCTAACCGAGTTTTATGATTGGTGGAAGAGTCATAAAATTGAATTTGGAGTCATATTACGGTGACGAATAGAAATCGGGGAAGGTTATCGCCGTCGTGTTCAGTTCAGGAACTGATCGCAATCTGAGTGTTGAAATTCGATATTGGTGCAGTTATAATTACTAAAAATTTTTGTTAACTATTCAAAATGTGGCATCCTTGGACAAGTACTAATAGTAATAACGAGTGTGATAAAAGCGCAGACTTTTTCCAGTGTAGTGATTCCAATAGCGATGGTGAACAATGCGAAAACGAGATACCAGTGAATGAGATTCGAATGCATTTAAATATTGAAACAAACAGAGAGTATGTTTCAATGTATATAAGAATCTACATCTCAAGTTTGGTTTCGAGGAAAACAAACGGATACAAGCAACATCAGATATTTGACCGTAAAATACGTAGAATAGTCAAAAACAAACTTTATGAACACAAGACGCGATTTGATACAGGATTACCAAAACCTTTAGATGTTCATATGATAAAAAATATTAAAAAAAAAATATACGACTGTTACAAAAGCAATGAGATTCCTACCATTCCATAAGAAAGAAATTGAATATTTCCGAACACAACGTGAGCTGCTGTGACAAAACTCTTCAGAATTGGATAAAGAAACTTGGATTTAGATTTAAAATAATAAACAAACGTCAAGCAGGTCTAGAAAACAGAAGAATAGTGGAATTGCGTAACAAATACTTGAACAAATAACTAAATATAGACAAGAACAACGGCAAATTTTCTATTTACACAAACAACCCCACTTGACTTCTAGTTTTAGGAGCGCATATCAACGGAAATCCCAAATCAAGATGTTTTGCTTTTCTAGAAGCTCCAGTTCTTTGTCTTCTGCTGATCAACGTATGTAAATGCAACAAACTTTTTATTCAATTAATAAAAGCATATTCAATGAAAATGTTCTCAACAGAGTTGATATGTGAAGTGAATGGTGATATTCGATTCTGATTCTGCTCCTCCAAATTAATATTCAAATGTGGAATCCATACACGACCCAATACAATGGAGAGTGAACTTCTTTCAGGATGATTTTTCAAGAGTCTATAAGCTGTTCATTAATTGACTTAAAATTGTTGTGTGCTACCTTGAATATTAACTGTTATAAGATATATTTTCAAAAATTATCGTTGAGGTTTTCACTTTCATAAAAATCGATATTATTGTTGATTTCATTGGCTTGATATTGCGAAATATTAATTGACATTTCATATGAAGTATATGGTTTCCAAGCGTAGTAGTACTTGGGTGAGTAAATAGATTCAAACGCAATGAGATTTTACGAATGTTCGAAGTTCAATCTTCAGAAATTTTGAATGTTATGTTTGAAGGTAGATTTATGAAAATGGGAAAGATTTTCAAGAGGAAGGACATATAACAATTTTCACCACATGAATTTAGTGTTCGAATACCTCAGTGGTCGATGATTTAATCATTGGGGAGACCTGACTTACATTTGTGGAAAAATTATTGCCTTCAATGAATGACACAAATAATATTTTAATTTTTGTTATCTCTTAGTTTTGCAATGCAATTTTTTCCTAACGACTTGGTTTTTTTGAGATGATTCTGATTTCCGAATGGAAATTTACTTTGTATGTTCTTCAATTGCTATTCCAGTTGATACTCTTCAGCACATTATCATGATCGACAACATCTTTGGAGTGGAACAGTGGAGGAACGCGCGAACTTATATTTCATTCGTCGAAATGCTTCTCAAAATTGTAGATATCAGTGAACATTATTCTCGACAATTCTTTGGTGTAGGTACTTCCGATATTTCTAGTTAGGTAAGTTGTACTCCTAGACAAACACTTTGTTCCGAAAACAAATTTTGAACACGGTTGTTAAAAATTAGGAAGAGGAGTGTCATCTTTAGACGGGTTAACTGTGCTATGACGGTGGTCAATGTTGTCATTTGACAGTTCAGTCTTATATGTCAGAAGTCACGATGAAAAAGTCAAAATAAAATGAAAGAGTATCTAGCCAACAAATATTTGTTTTAACATTTCATTTTAGTTATTAATTTCAACTGTCTATGAAAATCGGTCCTATAGTTGTGTAATGGAATACTTTTTTTAAACATCGGACTCGGATTCTCGAAAGGGATATGAATTTATACCGTTTGTTTGTTTGACGTATGATGTGGGAAATATGATAGAAATTTTACAAATGTTTTTATTTTTGTTCAAGTCCAAATATCGACGAAAACTTTCTGTTGAAAATTTTTTAATTTGTTGTCTTGTGAGTGTTGGTGCTTTGTCTTTGGTGTCGGATGTTTCGGCAAAATGCAATGACACTATTTGTGGGAGCAATGGGGTATGCAGAAATGATTCCTGTATATGTTATGATGGCTGGCAGGGTCCCTATTGCCAATTTTGTGGAGGAAAAGTGAGGTAAATTTCCTCAGAAGTATTTCAATCTTAGGAACTACTAGATACATGTAACTCTCTAGAATGTTATACTATAACATGTAACAATGTAACATTCAGTAAACACGACTGCTTAGATTTTTAAGAAACGAGAGAAACTCGAGTATATCAGCAGTTTGTTTAGATATGCAATTTAGAGTTTGAGTTCTTATTGATGAGTATTTTGGACATTATGTTACCATAGTCTACAAGTTTTACTATTTTATGTGTAATCCTGAACTCCTTTTGTATTTGTAATGAAAACGTCATCTTTTAAATGAGAAAAAAAGATTGAAAATATTTGTGAAGTTTTATTATTTGCAAAACATCTTATGGACAGAAATAATAAATGAACTGTCAATATTAAAGAAGTATACACAAGCAAGAGTCGCTTTACACTAGGTAACTTTTATTGCTTGCAATTAGTTTCTGTTTTTTTTGTCACAATCATAATTGCAGTTTTGTTTTATTCTTCACAATTGGCATTATTCAGGTTTTCCAAAATACATTGATAATAAGAGAAAATATATAACCGTTGAAATTTGAAATTACATATGTGCACATAATCAAGAAAAATGGTTTCAACTAAGAAAGTTGAAATATTACTTTGTTATATACAAAAAACATAGTCTAGTCAGCATTTACTGTTTCAAATTTCAAGTTATATGAATAATCAGTAACATTCAATGATATTGGCAAAACTGAAAGTAACAATATTTATTACTAGAATTGCTTTTGCAAGAAGAATTGTGCCAATGAATTAAGGCTCATTTTCTCCCTAAATTTATAATTGCAACAGCTGATGGAAGCGCCTCAAGGTGCATGTACACAATAAAAATGACTGCTATGTGGGTATATGTGTTTTCATCAATATCCAGTGTACTTTCACCAGTGGATTCAATGATTCATCCATTTCAAAGATATTCTCATAGTATTTATTTGTTGATTACAAAAAAACACGAGACATTGCCTTTTCTTGTTATATTTTTCAAAAATACAAACAGAAAATAAATTAATTACTGAACTGGAAAATACAATACATACAAGTATACGAAAAAAGGTTGTAAATATGTTTATTATATCTCGCAATAATCATTTTCTAGTTTCGATTATTTCAAACACAACTCTACATTTATAAAAGAACTAAATACAATGATGGCATATAACAAGAGTGCATGGTAAAGTATTTCAGATAGCTGTTCATTACAAGTGACAGAGTGTTAAGCAATATTGATGAGTGCAATAAGAAAATGATTTATAAAGTGTAATAGTCGTATAGTTTTTGGAGATAAATACAAGTAAATAAATGAAGTTGTTGATTTTCATAATTGTACCACTTATAAAAGTAAGAACCAAACAGAGACTATTGGCCCATGAAAAACTAACAAGTTTGTTTCATGTGCAGAACAAGTCATAATACATTGGTTATTTTTTTATTTTAAGTTTATCTCATTATATATCATCTAGAAATCACCCATTTCAACAGATTCTGATGTAATGGAGTGATATTTCATATTAGAAATGTATATATAGAATTGGATATGAATTTTTGCATGAGAGACATTAATATTGTAATCATTTTGGAAAGTTTAAAAAAACTACCAATTATTTCAATTATTTTCAGACTAGGCTCCTCAACTGGAACAATTCATGATGGCTTGGGAAACTATTCTTTAACAAGCAAATGCAGTTGGCTAATAGATGCTCCAAACTCAACAATAACTCTCCACATTGAAGAGTTTGCCACAGAATGTGGATGGGATCATTTGTATATGTTTGATGGTGACAGTGTGGATTCCCCACTTCTGGCAGTCTTTAGTGGCTTAATGTATAAAGACTCTTACAGCATTAGGAGGATTCCAGAAGTTATTGCCCATTCGGGTTCTGCATTGATACATTTTTTCAGCGATGATGCTTACAATATGTCAGGATTTAATGTATCATATCGCCTTAATTCTTGCCCATCTACAGTAAGTGGATGATTTAGTATAATTTAAATTACATATACTTTCAAGTGGACCTTCATTTCTGTTAATTCTACTAACTGGGAGAAATATGAGTGCCTATTGCGGCAGACAGCTGAATTTCAATTTCAAGAGGGATACTTTACATGATTATTTTTAATCCTTATGGTTCAACCTTCTGAGAGAGGTAGATATTAGCCTTAGATTGGGACATTATTTTGAATGGCCTTCCAACTCTCATTTCGACAGTGGCCTAGCTTATTACTTTTTGATGAGCAGTTTCCGAAAAATGCCATGCCATACTTACAGAACTAATCAGAACTTTCAAACAAATATTAATATTGAATCTTGAACTGGTTGAGAAATGAAGTAGCCTTTCGAACTTTAAATTAGAAGCAACATCAGCCATTAGCCTCAAAAAATTAACATCAATAAGTAATCTAATCGTGTAGTTATTATTCTATTTGTAATTCAAATCGCCGAAATTCCAGAGATGGCCTCCTTTCTTTGCTGCTTCTGCTTCAAAAAATTGTTCAGCAAATTTAAACGATTTGGTATTATTGTTGATTTGGTTTTATTTGTTGAGCTGTTCAGTGATATCTTCAACAAGTGTTGACAAAGGGTGGCATTTCTTTGAAAGGATGGAAGGAATCCAAATTATAATCTAAATTACCGATATGTGGCTTGATTTGTAACTGATTGGGTAAACAGTAAAAAAAAGAAAAACCCCAGATTACTTAGCGAAGAAGCTCAAATGGAAATGTGGGAAACGTTGCATAACCCATTGAATTAGCTACTTCTGCAGAACAGACTTGAATGTCGTACGAAACTGTGAGAAAAGCACTGAAAATACATGAATTTCATCCATATGAGATGCAGATTATTCATGAGCTCCATGCGGATGATTATGATAAAAGAATTGAATTTTTGTAAAAGCATGACACACCGAGACACTGCCATGATCTACACATCTTTGTATAGAGTTACTTTTTTTGAAATTGATTGCTTCCTTCCTTTCTTTTTGTATCAAGATGGAGAAGTAGAAAGCCAAAACCTTTCTTTCTCAAGAAAAGTTCATTTATTGTATAAATACACAATATTTATGAAACATAACCTGCTGATATTGATGAACTCAAAGGACGAATTACAGCAGCATGCCGTTAAATTCTTGATGAAGTTTTTTAAATGTTCAAGAGGAGTTTGAAAAGATACTGCTTGGAGCAAAAAGGACAACATTTTGAACAGTTCATCAGATAGTGTGTAAATAGATGATTTAAATTTGTTTCTCGTCATTTGACAGTTTGTTTGTAAACGTTAAATAACCAAAGAATAAAAACTCACACGCGTTGACTAGATTTATTCCTGTTAGTCAAGGGTTGGAACGATATCATCTAATCTTCAAACTATTTCTATTAACAGGACAGTCAATACTAACTAACTGAATATTGAATACTACCCCTAGTAGGGAGTTGAACCATGAGGGTGAAAAATATTCATTTGAAGTGTCCCTCTTGAAAAAAATTACCTGCTTTTTCGATTTTTCATATTATGTTCGTTTTCAAATTGACACACTATATAAGAATCTATAATATTTTTAAAATAAAATATATCTCATGTTACCTTCTTTCAGTAATATTTTATGTGGTCAATTTTTTGTCAGTTTTGAAGCATCATTATGATTGAAATATTTGTTATTGTTATAGAATGTCTCGACTAAAATCTCGAATGGGTAATATATCAAAAGAATCAACAATGATAATTGATGAGGTTATATGAATTTCAGGTATCCAACTTGAATTGTTCCGGAAATGGTGTATGTATTGATGGATCTTGTATCTGCGATGGTGGGTGGGGAGGAGCTGCTTGCCATTTGAGAAATTGTCCCAATGATTGTGGATCTGCTCAAAGCAGAGGCATCTGTGAACCTGAAAAAGGTTGCTTATGTATTGACAAATACAAGGGAGATGATTGTGGGCAAGTGGCAACAGATGGGTACTGGGAAACTATTACTGCACAGAGTTTCACACCTCCTGGATCAGCGTCACATGGAGCTGCAGTTTGGAGAGATTCCATGTATGTAATAGCTGGAGAAAGTTACAACAGAGGTTATTTATTATCCGTTTATGATTTCAATGGTAAGCAAGTTTTGTGATCTGATGGGAATAAGCAGTTGTGAAATATCCAGTTATCCCACTGCAACTGACAAGTATGATTTTATTTATTTACTGTATTAGTCAAGCGAATAAGTCTATGATGTGAATTTTACAAATATCACCTTGCTGGATATTTCAGAACCACATTTTTTAATAATTGGATCATGCTTATGAGAAGAGCACCAAGCGACATCTGCGTAGTGCCTTCTAAAGTTGTAACATTGCAGACACTTACTTAACTGCCTTCAAATGACAACATTCATTTATGATTGATGTGAATAATTCGATTTACTTAATTTCTGAGAAAAGGGGCCCTAGAGTAGGATTTTTCATATAATTTCGAGACTTTTGCCGCATAGTTCCTTTCTAATAAATACACTTAAATCCATTTTATACTAAGAAAGATGCTGTCAGTCAATGGTCTTTTATGTCGGCAATGCTTCTTTGTGTTTATATAATAATCGGTTGAATGAAGCCTTTGATTCATCTTTATTGCTTTTTCAAAAATCTGAATCATTTGGTAGAAAGCTGTGGCCCGGAACTATATACTTGAAATAAACTGTTTCTAATGTTTGGTGATTGCTGAGAATTGTTTTCATCATTAAAACTATCCTAATATTGCGATTCTGTCCGACGCAACTATGACCACATTATCAGCGTTTTTGTGTTTGGACTGAGATGATGTTCAATGAACTTCTTCAGTACATATCCAACTTCCTGGACCCCTCGCCTAGTTGTCCCCTCTTTCCATACGAAACTGTATCCATTTTTTCCTCAATGGACACCTTCATTGTACATCCAGAGTTGCCTTTTATAGAAAACTAAGTTTGCGGGAATATTGGGCAGTGGTAGAGTTTTTTCCATGTCATAAGTCAACATCTCAAGATCGGGAATTTCTTCCTCTTCTTTCATATCTGCCTTCAATTTCTGCTTTCAGCTTCTTGCAGATGCTTCTCGTGTGCGTCTTTCGTGTTTTGTTGGCTTTTAGATGCCTTAAATCTATTGCATACTCGTACACTACATGTGTCTTTTACCAATGGCTTTCTCCGTAGATTGAAATTTTCGTAAAATATTTTCTTGAACATAGTGAAAAGAAGTTTATTGACCTGCGAATACAACCCCAGACAAGTGCAAACGTCAAAAAATAGTGCATTCCTTAATGAACGATTATGAACGAAACTAACCAACAGTATAATAAGGAAGTGAACAATGATCAGAAGAGAACCAAGTCACAAGGAAGAGTAGTCCAAGCGACATTGCTACTCGTTTCGTTGAACTTTGTTCCCTGGTGTGATATAAATCTACTGCAATTAATTATAGACAAATGTCAAAAATTTACTTTTTTCCTAAACAAAAATCCCATTAACTGGCGATACAAAATCAATCAATCAGAACTGAAAACAACAAACACAATCAGAGATTTAGGAATCACTCTCGATCCAAAAATGTCATTTAAACCACATATTGCAAATATTACTTCTGAAGCTTTAAAAATGTTAGGTTTCATTCTTAGATCTGTAAATGAATTATCTCTCACTTCAATAAAAATCATATATTGTTCAATTGGTATATCAATAATTGAATACAATTCCACAATTTGGTGCCCTTCATATCATGTGGATATTGATATGCTTGAAAGTGTTCAAAATAAGTTTTTAAGGTATTCTGCATATAAACTGGGATATCATACTGGTGAATATGACTATAAAATTATATTTGACATTCTTAACTTGAATACTCTGGCTCAGTGGTAGCATCAATGGTAGCATCAATGGTAGTAGCATCAATGGTAGCATCAATTCCCCAGAAGTTGTCGAACTTATAACTTTAAATGTGAATCCAAGGAAAACAAGAAATTCGGATATCTTCAAAATACCTTTTTGTCGCACCAACTATGGCCGGTAGAATTTTGAGAATTGCAAATACATACAATGTAGATTTAGAATTTTTTAATTTATCTTTGAAAACATTTTAAAAGACGGTGAAAACATTGTAATTCATTATTTTTACGATTTTTTTATTTTCTTTTATATATTTTTTCCTTAAACCTAGCTTATATTACTGTTAAATAGATATGTGTGAACTTGTTAATTATCTTGTAAAAATAGGCATTGCCATAAATAAATATCTAATCGGAACCAGGCGTTCAGATCCTTTCTGATTTATTTCGTATTTGCAATGATCCACTTAGTTCCCAGTGCAAAGTCATTTTTCAAGCGTTAATACACATTGGGCGCTTGGTTCTGTTCAGAAACATGACCCGTGAGTACTTATTTGTCGTATAGTGCCATAAACTCATTTTCACAAAAATGTCGCTTGGTTCTTTTCTGATAAGCATTACCCAATTATAATATGATAATTTATTGAAACCTGAAAATTTATGAATTATCTTTACAACAGGAAATGTTTGGGAAACACCTCATATACCAGAAAGTCCTTCGCAGAGATATGGCCACTCTGCTGTGTTATATGGCGACAAGATATTTATTTATGGTGGTGTTCTGGGCAATAGAGGACCTACCTCTGAGCTTTGGGCTTTCGACATTAGTGCCAAAACATGGGAAAATATAACAGTCAAGGCAGATTCATGCAATGGTAGTTTTCTGATGTGTGGACCCTTGAAGTCTGTGGGTCACACTGCAACTGTTGTCATGAATAATATTAACAAAAAAGTTGATAGGATGATAGTAATATTTGGTCATTCTCCTCATTTGGGATACTTGAATACTGTGCAAGAATATTACTTTGGAACGAGAGAATGGCATATCATCAACACCAAGGGTTACCCCGTGAAAGGAGGGTATGGACATAGTGCTAGTTGGGATCCACTCACAGGAAAAATCTATGTTTATGGTGGTGTAGTTTCTGAAAGCGAGTCATCCCAATATTTAAGTAAAAATTTATATTCCTATGAGCCAAATGAACGAATTTGGATGTTACTGACTGATGCTCCCTCTGCAAGATTTCTTCATACAGCCACTTTTGTATCTGAAGGTTTGATGTTGGTTTTTGGAGGAAATACCCATAACGATACTTCTCACAGCTTCGGAGCAAAATGTTATAGCTCAGAACTTCTTGCATATGATGTTCTCTGTGACACTTGGAGTGCTCTGAGTGTACCAAAAGATTTACATGCAGATTTAGCTAGATTTGGACATTCTGCTGTTGTTTTTGAAGGATCTTTGTATATCTATGGTGGATTTGATGGACAAATGCTCTCTGATTTACTTAGGTATACTCCAGGTGATTGTCAGTTCACAAGTGAAACTTCATGTTTGAATAGCAAGCCTGGCGTTAAATGTGTTTGGGATTCTAGAACAAGTTCCTGCAGCCCTGTTCTAGCAATTCGTAAAGATTTAGTTTTGAGGAAGGAAGAGACGTATATTATACGATGTCCAAAATTGAATAGGTCTGCGGCTACTTCAGGGATAATCCATAATACAAAAAAATGCGAAGAGATGGAAGACTGCTTGAGTTGTGTTCAGACCACTAGTGAATGTGTATGGTGTGGTAATTCATGTAACTTGAACAAAAAGTGTTCTAAAGGAAGTGGGAACGGAAATAGTACTGACATGAATCCTATAACAAAGCTAGCTCAGTGTCCTTTGGATCCGTCACCAATATGTCGACAGCTTCACACTTGCAAGGCATGTACTTCTCAGCCATTTTGTCGATGGAGATTTGAACATGCTAAATGTGTTCCACATCCTACCCACTCTAACAATACTGCTGAGGCAGTAGAACCTATACAGTGTCAAAACGTCTGTTCCGAGTACAACTCATGCTTGAACTGTACTCAAGAAGAATGTATTTGGTGTCAAAATGAAGGTAGATGTGTTGACAAAAATGCTTATACCTCTAGTTTTCCTTATGGGCAATGCAGGGAGTGGACTACTGTGCATACTAAATGTCGAACAAGAGGAAGTGACGAAAATTCTCAGTGTGGGTTTTACAAGACTTGTGCCAAATGTAGAGATGATCCTGCATGTGGTTGGTGCGATGATGGTTCTAGAACTGGATTGGGAACCTGTATGCCAGGAGGATATGCAGGTAAATATCAGAGATCATATTGAATTTTAATATGATCACAAAATTAAAATTGATTACTTTCTTCCTTTCATTTTGTCTTCAATCGAGGACCGCCTGCCCGGTACTGATGATGCCCAATAGGCTGAAACAGCTATATATATTAATATAAGTTACAAAAAGGGTTTGAAGCTTTATAACTCCTATTTCATTATATGCGAGCGCTTTCGGCAGCTGGTCGTACTGCCATCAAGGCTCCACTCAATTTGACAGTTTGAGTAGAGCCTTGATGACAGACACCACAGGGTGTCATCATTTCGACAGACACCACGGGGTTCAGAATGGAAGAAAACTCTACAGTGACTAGAGCTTTTTTATAAGATTATTAATAGATTCATGCCTTGAAAATCTACGAGAACTAAATTTATAGCTCAAGCCATGGTAACCATATTTTTTTATACAGTGGAACCACATGTGACTAACACAAATTGAAGTATAACTTTTAGCTGTGATTTCGAATTGATAATCAAACTTATTGAATTTAAATGAGCCTACTACTTATAGTCGCATTATTGGTGACAGCTAAAGTTCTTAACAATATTAATAGCTTTACAGTCCAAGAAATCCAAAAATCAACAAATTTCATAATTTTCAGGCCCAACCCTTCATACTCAGTCTCTCCCGTCTTCTACTTGCCCTCCAGATCGATGGCATTTCACCACATGTCCTGCATGTCAGTGTAACGGCCACTCTAGTTGTGTTGATAATTCTAGTACATGCTTGCCATGTGGTAATTTGACGAGTGGTTCCCATTGCGAAATCTGCATGAAGGGTTATTGGGGCAACCCAGTAAATGGCGGCAAGTGCTCACAATGTCAGTGTAATAAACAGGCCGATGAATGTCATAGAGAGACGGGAAAATGTTTTTGTACAACAAAAGGAATAATTGGAGACCAGTGCGAGAAGTGTGATACTGCAAATCACTATCATTCTGATCCTAATAATAAGTCGTGCTATTGTAAGTATTGATTTCTTAGAATAGGATAAAATAGAATAGTTTGTTTGTGATGACAAACATATAGTTTCAGACAAATCACAATGAATAATTGAAATAAACTAAATCTACAACTTATAAAATACATTTACAAAGTTAGTCATGTTATGTTTTGTTTAATATAAATGGGATGTTAGTCTACGTCAACCATGGTATTACTGTTGAGGTACTCATCATAATTATATAAAACTTTATCAGATAACTTTTTAAAACAACTTTTAGTTATTCAATCAATCAATCAATCAATCAAACTGTACTTTATTGTCCAAGAATAATTATTCTTATTGACAAAGTGAATAAATAACAATGAAGTGGATATCCACTGTGTCCAATACATATGAGACAAAAAATATGAAAATATAAAATGTAAAGATGAATAATTATTTATATACACATATATACACATATATATNTTCACAATTTGTTTCCTGTCACTAAGATATGATTCGAACCATTTGTAGACAATTCCCCTGAATCCATAATGATGCAGTTTACTCAGCAGTACTCTGTGATTCACGCAATCAAATGCTTTTGAAAAATCACAGAATACCGCTGCAACTACCTCGCCGTGATTCAGGCTGAGATAGACATTTTCAAGAAAAGAAAATATAGCGTCAGTAGTGCTTTTCGAATTTTGAAAACCGAATTGACATTGCGACAATATGTTATATTTCTGTAAGAACTTCATCATTCTCTGTTTAACGAGTTTTTCTATGATCTTCGATAGTGTAGATAAAAGGGAAATTGGACGGTAATTTGATGGATCGTCATTTGCACCACCTTTGTGAAGTGGGATTACTAATGCTTCTTTCAAAAAGGATGGAAAAATCCCCAATTCGAAGGACTTATTTATACATTCTGCCAGGATATGTAGTGCAGTATCAGGTAAACTTTCGAATATATTCATGGAGATTTCATCTATTCCTCCCGATTTCTTATTTTTTAATTGTTTGAATGTTTCTCTCAGTTCGTGAATATCAGTTGGCCCCATGAAAAAGTTATATGGAAGTTCATTTTGAAGGTAATTTAAAGGATCAGTATGATTATCCAAGTTTGCGGTGATTTTTTCAGCTATTGTGCAGTAATAATTGTTGAGAAAATCTGGGTCAATATTAATAGAAGGTGATAAAGAATTATTTTTCCCCTCAAGTCATTTACTATTTCCCAGTGTTCTCTTGGTGTGTTTCGGCTTTTTTCGAATCTGGATTTATAGTATTTTTCTTTAGCGCTTTTGATAACATCTCTATAAGTTCTTCTATACTTGTTGAAATATGTCGAGAGAAATTCACTATTATTATATTTCCTGAACATATGCAATGCTCTCAAGTTTTTGGCTGATATTCGGATACCGTTGGTAATCCACGGTTTTTTGCATGATTTTTTTAATTTTCGCATCGGGAAACTGTCATTGAAAAGCTGAATCAATTGTCTATGAAACATCGATAGAGCTTCAGTCGGATTAGGATTAGATAGTGGATTGCAAACATTTTTTAATGAGGTCTCATTTGATTTCCATTCACATTTGGGAAAATTGAGGGATAACACTGTTTTGAGTTTGAAGGTTTCAAACCAGTTTTTTGGTCATGATGTGTTCCCTTTGTGAACAATGGACGTAATTTGAATTCGTTATGCAAATATTTCACCTGGCAGTCATACTTTGTGGTTAATTTGCGATAGTACACCCTGTATGTGAAGTTCTCAGAGACTGCATCGATATCAAGTTCAATAACCTCCAGGAATAGTATCAAGGCCGTTCTTCCGCAAAATAACAAATATATTAACATTTGAAGGTTTGATATCTGAACAAACAAATGATTGTTACTCACCAAAAGCATAGGTACGTTGATACTTCTTGAAAATATACACTCTCTGTAAGTAGGTAACTACTAATTTTTTTTTCATGTAACAATTAATTAGAATTTAGTAAATATTAATATTTAGTAAACACTCGATGGTGTACACACTCGACTTAGGTCGAAACGAAAAACAAATTCAGTAATTAAGGAATGCAAGAAGTAGCCTAGGGCTCCAACGCTGTCGAGAGTTATTTGTGGGAAACACGTTTGACGGATTATCGCAGTGTTGCCAATGATGAACTATGAGAGTTGAACTGACTTGAATTTCGAATACTTCAGAATTTAGTACCATAATCTATGCATAAAGTAAACCGCATATTCACTTTTATATCATAGTTTCCATTATCAGTGAAATTCATCAGCATGTAATTTCACAGACAGTAATTTTATAATTGAATTTATAATTCACGTGAAATGTAAGTGAAATTAACATAATGAGTACCACAATCCAGACGTCATCTGAAGTACAGAACATATTCGTGTTCAGAGACTACATACTACATATTCACGAACTGTGTTGAATGACAACCCTCCCTTCAGGTTTTCGTCTAAAAAATGCCTAAGAGTACGCGAAGTATATCATGAATTATATCGTGAGTCTCTATGAAGTTTGAGTTGAATTTCACGGATTACCCAAACGTTACTGGCGTTGGAGTATTACCTCCTTTATACCTACATAAGCAACAACTTTCTCGAAAATCAAGAAATCACCCGCACATTGGCAACATTGATGTGTCGTCTTATCTCCCAACAAGATAAATAACATACCTACCATCAAAACGTTCGGTTTTGAGAGAGGTAGCAAACAGGATACCTAGAGGAAGCAGTATGTCTACGGAAATGTGTGGCCGTGAAATAATATTTCATTGATACTAGAAAATAATATTGATAATATACAGTGCGTCAATAGAGTAATGCGTTGTTAATTGAAGGCGGGATGCCATGAGTTTAGTATTTCTTTGGAATTATAGCACACACTTTGTTGAGGTAGGTATGTTCTACAGTTACGAGAGAGTCGCACACTTCAAACATAAGGCTGGTGTCGCCAGCAATGAGGTATCCATTGGTGAGGCGAGTGTGGCCTATTCGCAGGCAAGATACTATGACCTGAGTTTTCCTACTTGTCGGGAGATGTTTCCATGGAAGTACACTTGTTTTTACTTTGGGAAGTTGACTGCAAGACCCATTCCATTGATCTTGTCATAATTCAGTGAGGATTTTTTATAGTACGGTTTCATATCTATATGGACAACATAGTTTTCTGGCTTCTGGCTTCTTTGGCTAATCTGTCAGCCTTTTCGTTTCCTTTTATACCAACGTGAGAAAGGACCCATATGAATTTTGTGACTACTCTTTTTCCATAGAGTATATTGTGTCAGTTCTTTTATATGACGAATGATGGGATGGTTGGAGTATAATTGGTTGATTGCTTCTCAGGGCACGTAAAGAATCTGACATAATCAAAAATTTCATTGAGCTGTTCTTCTCTATGTACTGCATTGCTTTCCATATGGCGTAAAGTTTCCCAGTGAACACTGAGCTCTCTAGGGAAAGTTAAAGTGGTGAATTAAATTGAAGACTGGTGAAAGCAGCTCCTACGTTGTCTTAAGATTTGGATGCGTTCGTGTAGATTGTGTCAAACTCCTTGTATTTCGTATGAATTATTTCATATAAATTACATTTGATGACTTCGTAGTTAATGTCTCTCTTTTTGAACTGATTAAGGTTTGTATCAATGAGAATTTTTGGGGTAGTCAATGGAGTGGGATAAGGGATATTCGGGTCGGAGAAGGTTTTTGGTTGATGGAGGTTCAAATTATGTAGATACTGATTTTGTGTCTCGTAAAAAGGAAGGTCAGCTCTTTCCTTTTTAGCATATTATGTTGACGAAAACCTATGGGCAATCACATTATGGTATACTAGGTTTTCAGGGTTTGCTGTAATGGAAGCAGCATAGGTGAGGGTTAAAAACCGGCTTCGGGTTGCTAAATATGATTCGCCTGATTCCCATTGTAAGCTATATATACCAGAGAGTACCTTTTAAAGAATAGTCTGGAAATGTAGAATAGTCGAACTAAGGTATCTGTATTGTTTAGTGCTGCTTTTACAGGAAATTATCATGAACTGCCTCTCCATTAAGGCGACCACTAACTATATTACAAAGTGAGCTTAGTGATTTACCTATAAGAGTTTTTGCCACAACGACTTGAGAAGTGGGGTTTAACGTAATGAACTCTGAAAGAATTGTAATTTGTTACAGATACCGTTATGCAGAGACCGCATGTACGGGACATGTAGCCTATTATTATTGAATATTACAGGAGTTTTTTCCCAACACCAAACCGTTATTTCAACACCTCGACACGTGTTTTGATCACCAAGTGATCATCTTCAAGAAGAAGATCTTCTTCTTGAAGATTAACTACGATGTCTAACAGGCCTTCTTACAGGTCACTGTCATTTGAATCATATGCAGAGACTGGGACTGTCGGAAGACAGTGTGTGTCGCAACTATTTAGAAAATGATGAAACAGCAGAGCATATACTTTGTGCCTGCCCCGCTGGGGACTGAATCAGGTTTTTAGAGTTCGGCAGACCCGTCCTCTTACCGTCAGACCTGAAAGACCACTAACAATACAAACTAATCGGCTTCGTTAAGAATCTGGGTTTATTTGGTTGAGTGTGAATAGGTGTGAGCCACAATAAACCTTTGCGGGTTGCGGTAGAATGTCGAATATATCCACTCACTTCAGACCTAACCTAACCTAACCTAACCTAACCTAACCTAACCTAACCTAACTCTCAACGACATCATAAGCTGTGAAGAGGCAAACAATTTGGAAAAAAAGGAAAAGCATCATTGTATAGAATACAAAATTCGCTATCGATCAGTATAATATACTGCGACTCAGTAGAATAAATATCCATTGAGATATGAAGCTGAAGAACACATGACATTAAAACAAGACTTTTGAAACAATCCAAAATTTCAGGTCTTTCCAATTTTCTAAGGGTTTCATTCATACACCTTTAATAAAATAATGCTCTTCTGGGTTATTAAAATCAAGATGAAGAACAATGCACTTTTGTTCATTCAGATTCAAACAGCACTATATTGG